TTTTGATTTTTCGAGACAGGGTTTCTCTGTAGCTTTTGGTTCCTGTCCTGGAACTAGCTCTTGTAGACCAGGCTGGCCTCGAACTCACAGAGATCCGCCTGTCTCTACCTCCCGAGTGCTGGGATTAAAGGCGTGCGCCACCATCGCCTGGCCTAAGTTTTTAAGTTCTCAATCCATTCTTGATTCCATCTTAAGTTGTAGGTGGGCTTCGTGGAACATAGTAAGTGGTATAAAACCAGACTGGACCAGAGATATAATTCAGGAGGGAGAATGTTTCCCTCGTGTGCCAGAAGCCCTGGATTCAATCCCCAACACTCTCTGACCCGAGAGTGAAGGTATGTGCTTACAATTTCAGCACTTGGGAATGGAGGCAGGGGAATCAGAAGTTTGAGTTCATCCTTAACTACAAAGCAAGTTTGAGTCCACCCTGTAATACATGGCATTCTGTCTCAAACAACAATAACAACAAAACAGAAATAAAATACAACAAAGCCACCAGGAATATCTGATCCTATCTAGGGCTCATCCTGAAGTAGGTTTCTGGGTATCTGTTCAGCCTTTTCCTATAGCAGCTGCAGCCAGAAGAGGAGAAAAGATAGCTTCTGACTGCATACAGTCCTCTCTAAAAAGATAGTATATTCTCTTTTGCGTAGATCGAGAAATTTATAGTGAAACTCAAGCCCTAGTCCATGTGATTGGCATCTAAGCTTTTCCCTTGGCCTTCCTAGCAGTGGGGGGGGGGGGGGGGGGAGGCGAGCTCCCATGTGTGACTGGGGCCTGAACCAGCCTGTGCCCATAGTACTTGGTTGGAGTTTTATTTTTGTTTTTTTTTTTTTTGTTTATTTATTTATATTTATTTATTTGAGACAGGGTTTCTTTGTAGCTTTGAAGCCTATCCTGGGACTCTCTCTCTGTAGATCAGGCTACCCTCAAACTCACAGAGATCAATCTGCTTCTGCCTCCCAAGTGCTGGGATTAAAGGCATGTGCTACCACCATCTAGCTTGTTTGTTTGTTTGTTTGTTTGTGTGTTTTGTTTTTAAACAAAATCAAAAACAACGAGATAGCAAGCAACTCAAGAAATGACTTTTGGCTAAGAGCACTTCAGTTTCCAGTACCCACTTTGGGTGCCTCACAGAAACCTATCGCTGCAGTCCCTGGAAATCTGATGCCCTATGTACTACTGGTCCGTTCCGGAGGACTTGAGTTTGAATTCCAGTACCCATGTTAGGTGACTTACAATGACTTAAAACTCAGCTCTAAGGGGATCCAGAAGCACAGGGGATCTGCCCCTACACACACACACACAAATCAATAAATTTGGGGGCTAGAGAGATGGCTCAGCATACATACAGGCAGAATACTGTATATATAATAAATAAATAAATCTTTAAAAAAGGCAATAAATTTGGGGGAGGAAACTTCTGATTCCCCTGCCTCCATTCCCAAGTGCTGGAATTGTAAGCACACACCTTCATTTTGGAAAAAGTAAAGTTTTGGTGCCTTAATATGACAGTTGTCAAAGGCAATGCGTGCCATTAGTATTGTTTGGAAACCTGGTTAGAATTTCCAAAAGAAATTATTGTGACCTTTTTATATTGAGTTAAAATTCATATGTAGCCCTTTGCACTAACCCCCACCTCCTGGTAGTGATTAAGGACTAGCGTCTTTACTGAAGCAGATGTGCACTTACTTCCCACAGTTACAGTATTTTGAAGAGTAAGCTAACTAATTATTTTTAACTGCTCAATATAAGCTAGAAAGGAAGCAGTTTCCCCCACCCCCCGCAAAGAAGCTAATCACACTTGACCTGTGTGCCGCTTAATTAAATCAAGTCATCCGTGGAAAACAGTTGTGTTCAGTAACAGGAAGAATTTGTTGAAAGTGAAATGGGAATTATTCCGCCTTTCATGAAAAATTGCACCATTAGTACTTTGTAGGATCGGACAATGCTTTTATCTGGGGGCTGGACTCACGGGGGAGGGACTATTTACAGCAACCGACTGAAAATGCTGCCAGTGTAAAGAACGGTTCGAGATTAATTTCCTGCTTCCGTTTACATATTGTCACTTGTCTTAGGAGGATCTATAAAAGTGTATTAACATTTAAATAGCCACTTGAAGGATCACATTTTGATTAAAAATTCATGAGGTCTTATGGAGCTCTAAGAGTGAAAAGCATCTCTTGCAGCTTTAGCTGCCAGGCCATCCCCTCCTGTGTGACATACTGTAGATGGTCCAGGGGCCGTCCTGGTGAAATCAATATGAACTCACTGGCAGTCATAGCCTTCTGATGACAAGTTCTTAAACTCATGCCAAGTAGTTCCCCAGATTTACCTAGCTACTCCTAAAATCCTTTTGTTTCTATTACTAGGTAATTTTCAGAAACAAAAGAATACTAAAAACATAAGAATTTAGAGGCTAGAGGCATGATTCAGTGGTCAAGAGCACTTGTTGCTCTTACAGAGGACCTGGATTCAATTCCCAGCATTTATATAGTAGCTCACAACCATTCATAATGCCAGTTCCAGGGACTCCAACATCCTCTTCTGACCTCTGGCACCAGGCATGCAAATGGTACACATACATATGTATGCAAAACACTTACACTAATGATATAAATCTTACAAGAAAATATCAAAGTTTTGTTGGAGTGTGTGTGTGTGTGTGTGTGTGTGTGAGAGAGAGAGAGAGAGAGAGAGAGAGAGAGAGAGAGAGAGAGAGAGAGAGAGAGAGAGTTTATTTTTTGCTGTTTTTAAATGATTTTTTAAAATATTTTCTGTTTGCAGAGAGGAGGGTAGGACGGGATGGGGCTTGTGCATAGGAGCTGGAGGACACTTGTAGAAGTCAGTTCTCTCCCTTTACCATGTCAGTTCAGGGAATCAAACTCAAGACATTGGGCTTGGTGGCAGGGACTTACCTTCTGAGCCATCTCAGCTTGTTGGCATAGGGAGCCTACAGGAATCTGAGTGGCCCCCAAACAGCTCCATTGCTGTAAAGCCCCAACTCACTGATGACCAAATCCTGGAAGCTGCCTTATGGAGTCATTCAGCTCACAGTGAAGCTCCGCACAGCGCAAAGAGCTGCACGTTGGCCACCCATCCTGGCAGTGCTGTGGTCAAGCCGTTTCCTTGTGGACCTGTTTTCTTACTGTGAGGAGGAAAAACGGGGGGGGGGGGTCCTTACAGTGAGTTGCACGGACACTGAATTCACTGTGACCCCCAGAGTGTTCTGCCATGCCCACCACTGCCCAGCAAGCAAACCATCACAGTCTTTTCCTCGTATATACTGAGAGCAGAGCATCCTCATCCTTTTCACATGTCTCTTGTCGCACAAGTCACATGTAGATTTAGTTTAATGACAACTTAAGAGTGTTTTGCCTTTGTGTGTATGTGTGTGTGTGCCGTATGCATGCCTGGTGTCCTCAGACATCAGAAGAAGGTGTCAGATTCCCTGAAATTGGACTTACATAATGACTGTAAGCCATAATTTGGGTGCTGGGAACTGAACTCAGTTCCTCTGCAAGAGCAGCAAATGCTCTTTGTCATTGAACTGCCTTTCTAGTCCTGAAAATACACGCTTTTTAAAATATTTATTAATTTTATGTGTATGAGTGCTATGCCTGCATGACAGAAGAGGGCATCAGATCCCATTACAGATGGTTGTGAGCCACCAAGTGGATGCTGGGAATTAAACTCAGGACCTCTGGGAGAGCAGCCATCGCTCTTAACTGTTGAACCATCTCTTCAGCCCCAAAAGTACAAGTTTTGATGCTGTAGTTTAGACTCATTTCTTGGGAGGCAACAAAACCAAATGAAACAAAATGAAGTGAAGTTTGTTTTTGTTTGTTTGTTTTTTTAACTCTCTCTCTCTAGGACTCTGGATTGATTTGGAAATGTCTTACAACGGGTCCTTTCTGATGACTCTCGAGACCAAAATGAACTTGACCAAACTAGGTAAAGAGCCTCTTGTTGAAGCCCTGAAGGTTGGAGAAATTGGCAAAGAAGGGTAAGGGGCCATATATGAATTTACTAACCAACCTCGGGGGACCGACTTCTCCCTGCAACCTGTGAGAAGCAGATCGGGGTGTGGGAGCCCCCGGTGTGGACAGCAGGCTCGGTGTCAGCACTTGTGATAAGAGTAGCTTTCCACCCGGCCTGATGGTGTCAGCACTGGCAGGGGTAACGCTGCCTCAATTACCCAGAAAGTACCCTGCTGCAGACAAGCAGGACAGATGCCTCTAAGCATAAACTGTTCTGTGAATCAATCCTTACACTGACACCTGCTTCAGCTTCCAGCCACAGACAGCAGTATGTGGAGCAGATTAAGGTCCCCTGGGGATCTACCACTTTAATCACCAGGTCAGAATTATTTATAACGATATGGTTGATTTTGCAGCTAAGAGGATACTCTGAGAGTTGTAAGAAGCATTTTCCCGAAATAATACAATATTGATTTGCTTAGTAAATTCTGCTCTTTGTAGATAGTACGTCTGTTACCCAGAGTTAATCTGATTTAGAAATATTCCAGGATCGTGAGGTAATTAATGGAGCCTGATTTTTTTTTTACCCCCTTTGATGCCAGATTTTCAAACACCTTAAAGGTTACTGTTCTGGCAACACATCTAAGTGATAATATTGTTTTAGCTGCGTTAAAAGGTGTGGCCTTTCCCATCTGAAGTTCCTAATCTCTCTTCAGGGACTAAACTACAATGGCCAGGGGCTGCCACAGTGAACTACTCTGCAGACTGTATGCAAGGCACTGGCTCTTGGATTTTTTGCTTGGTTACAGCTGATTGACCCTCTAGGTCTGTAGTACTGGTAGATCGAAGTTCAGTTGTGTCTTCAAGAACATTCTTCTGCTTAGATTATCTTGACTTATCCAGGTTATGCGTTGTAATGTACCTGTTTTAATGGTTAGAAGACTGCACTTGCTGTATTGCAATCTAACTTGATTCTGCTATTTTCCTTTTATTTTTCTGCTATTTGTTAAAATGTATTTGGATTCGGCAATCTGTGGATTTGTATTTTCTGGTGAGTGGCATTCATCAACTCCCTGTGTGGCATTCCATACCCTGTGAGTGCTGAACCTGCTGTGGTCCCATTTGAAACCACAAGAAAATGTCTTTTCATCATGTTCCCAGACATGAAGGCACAGTCCAAGGGCTCGAGAAGGCTGAGAGCAGAGGAGAGGGGCAAGGCTGTGATGAGAGAGTCTTTCTCGTCTAGCCTTAGTGAGACCCAGCTTCTTGTCCTGCTGTCTCACCCCACTCTGACCTCTAGCTGGGCAGTGCCAATCTGACCTTGAGACAGTAGAGTTGCAAAGACCCCATAGGCAGAAGCAGTCTGAAAACGAGGTCTCCTGGGCTAGGATTGTAGCTCAGCGGGAGAGCAGTTGCCTAGCACATGCCAGGCCATGGGTTTGATCCTCGGCACTACTTGTTTTTAATTGTATCTAGTAACTAAATGGGACTGGGACAGAGCAGTCTGGTCATAAACATTTGAGTAAGGAGCCCTTCTGTACAGCTGTGCTCCAGGAAGGGCACCGGGGCTCTGTTGGGTGGTGAGTCGTATGCAACAGGTGGCAGCAGGTCGCTTTTGGTCAGTCTTGTCATTCAGACACTCCACAGTGACTGCCGTCCATTTGGCTGGTCTTAGGATGCCGTGCTTCTTTAGACTGACGGAAAAGACTCCCTTTCTTTGGGAGCGTGACTTCCATGGTGGAATGTATTTCTAAAACCATCTTTTCATAGAATAATCCTGTATGGAATGTCTATCTTCTTCTTGTGAAGATATTAAATTATATATTAATATGTAATTAGCTTTTCAAATCAAAAACTATAACTATATTTACTTTTCTTTTTTTTTTTTTCTTTTTTCTTTTTTTGGTTTTTCGAGACAGGGTTTCTCTGTAGCTTTGGAGCCTGTCCTGGAACTCCCTTTGTAGACCAGGCTGGCTTCGAACTCACAGAGATCCGCCTACCTCTGCCTCCCGAGTGCTGGGATTAAAGGCTTGCGCCACCACCGCCCAGCATATTTACTTTTCAATGCAAAGAAAAATACAACCTCAAAGCCATGCTTCTAGAGGAAAAAGGCCTAAGAAATGGGCCCTTGGGGAAGCTGAGGACTCTAGACCCCCATCTTTATTTCAGAAAATGTTTCCACAGGCATTGTTTGGCTCAGAGTTTCTAGAAAGCATGGAAAGCTCCTTGAAGCCCAGGCATGATTCCAGAGCCTAGCTCGAGAAGCAGTTCTCAGTCTGCTTCCTTGGTTCCTCAGCTGTGAACATGTGCAGTCAGGTGTGGCTGAGGAGAGGAAAGACAGAAGTCAGCCCATGTCTTCTGGCCTCTGCAAGCACTGCCTATGCATAGTCCACAGACTACAGAGACTACCGGAAGTTGCCAGAAGTGATAGAGCTTCTTAGACAAGAAATAAAACATTTGAGCCAGTTGCGGTGGTAAATGCTAGCAATCCCAACACTTGAGAGACTGAGGCAGAAGACTTAGCCTGAGTTTGAAGCCAACCTGGGCTACATAATGCATTCCATAAAGTGAGACCCCATTTCAAAAGAAAGAAAAAATTTGGTCCGAGATAGAATCCATGATAAAATAGTTTACTTTCTCTCGTGCCTGACTCCAAGCAAAAGACATCATAACAGAATAGTCAGCTTGTTCAGTGACTCTCTGAGAGGGTGGAACACTTGCGGAATTCTGAGGTGTGTTTAAAGCCAGTAGTTTCCCACATCTTACATGTCTTTTATGAGATGTTTAGTGTCTTTCTCTGAAATGCTTGCTTACATCATAAGGTTTGAAAGCATAAAATACACATTTAGATGTAAAAGCTGCATATGAGCCAGTCGTAGGCTTAATTGGCCCTGGGTTCTACATGATACAGCTTCCATTTTGGATAATAGGGGTACCTACCACTTGGTCAAAATCAGAATCCACAGCCTCTGATACACTGGAGCCCATACAACATTATCTGAACTATTCACATGAAGCCACAGAGGATTTGTTCTGGAACCCAAGAGCTCAGTGTAGCACTCAGCCTTTGCCAAGGAATGGAGGTGCCAGGTGGTACACATTGGTGGGGACATAAGGGGCCATGGCTCAGCAGTTGTCATTACGATCCCAGATGCTGCAGGCAGCCCTTTGTGCTGTGTGGATGAGGACCTGCCCTGTGCCGTTGGGCCAGCTTCCATACCTGACAGCACAGGGCTCAAGAACTTAGAGCACAGCTGTTTGATGGAGAAATAGGAGTCATGTAATTTCTGGCAGTTTATGTTCCTGACTCTCCTTACCCAAAAACTCAGTTCAGGGTTGTTTGAGAATCGCATTTGCTATGTAGATTTGAAACCCAAGAGCATGCTCTTTGAGGAAACAGTTCTGTGAGCAATGAGGACATAGTGTCACTTCTGTTACGGGAAATGGAGAGCGGGTGCTTCAGCTGAGGAGTGGCTTCTCAGAGGGTCATCCCCTTCAATATGGAAGTTCAGTGTGTTTGCACAACTCTGGCTCCATTTCAGAGCCAGGATGAGCAGGATCCTTGTGTCCTGCCTGGGAGGACGCTGGTGAGATCCTCTTACAGCCAGCTCCTGTTTCAGGGTGAGAGGTTTAGCCTGGCCCTCACATGCATGCAGCTGTGTGCTCTACCCTTGACCCCCATTAATCAGGAGACAGTTACCCTGGTGGACTTTCAGCGGCTCAAGGAGGTGTCAAAGAGGACAGCAGCAACAGGGAAACTGGATCTACATGAACAGCGTTGCCTTTCTCTGCCTGACAATAGAAGGCTGTGTTTAGTGACCATTTGGTGGCTTAATAGTGTTTAGAGACTGTCTGTGAGTTCAAGGCCAGCCTGGTCTACAAAATCTAGTTCCAGGACAGGCTCCAAAGCTACAGAGAAACCCTGTCTCAAAAAATTAAAAAGAAAAAGGAAAAAAAAGAGACTGTCCTATGTTCATTTCATGCTTAGCTAAGGCCCCGAGCTCTAGAGATGAGGCCCACTAGTAGTCGCATGAGGAAGCAGCGACTTTTGGTAGGTCAGGAAGTCTCCACTGCGCTTCAGAAGGAAACCTTGATCCCACACCTCTGCTGCTGATTCCACAAGCCCCACCCCTCTGGAACCCTAAAGAGTGTAGTGAAGGGCAGCACTCTATAAGGGGGCTGCAAAGCCTGTCCTTTAAATTTGTGTTGTTCTAGAAAAGTCCCTGAGTTCTCAGTTGCTTTCTTGAGTCCCCTGAGACTTGGTACTTTGTGACTTTGGACTTTCTCTATGACCCCGCCCCCAGGATATGGAGCAGGTGTGGGATAATATATCTACTCTCACTAGGGAGGAGTCCAGCCAAAACTAATTTGAGGGGTAATTAATCCAGAGATAAGGGACTTGCCTGTACACCTCATTTGCGCCAAGGGAGTCATGTCACCAGCATTAAACTGCCATCGTAACCCCTGCTAACTGTCTATTTTTTCATTCACACACCTCCTCCTTGGCTCCCACATTTTATGTGACTTCATCACACTCTCCACCTGTCTATTTGGTGCATGCTCAAAAGTAACTGTGGGCTCAAGTCCTCTGCAGTCCTGTCGGGGGACTTGGTGCTGGAGTTTCCTGAGTAAGCCGCCAATCAAAGAACTCTTGGATTCTTTCTTAGTGACATTGGCAGCATATGGCAGGAGTTTTTCCTTGAGCTGTGTGTGTATGTGTGAGTGTGTATATGCACTGTATGTGTGAGTGTGTGTGTGCACTGTATGTGTGAGTGTGTGTATGTGTGAGTGTGTGTGTGTGTGAGTGTGTGTGTGCACTGTATGTGTGAGTGTGTGTGTGCACTGTATGTGTGAGTGTGTGTGTGCACTGTATGTGTGAGTGTGTGTATGTGTGAGTGTGTGTGTGCACTGTATGTGTGAGTGTGTGTGTGCACTGTATGTG